AAACACTGCCTGAGTTGCTCACAGATACATTCCCAAACCGCAGACTAAGAAACTGGGTTTTGTCAAGGGTGTGGCCAAGGGACAATTGTCGTATGTACTAGACCTGGCAGTGGAGTCTTTTAAAGAATTGACAAAGATTTTCTATGAACCAAATAATTCAGAGAATAACCCCTGCCTTTGGGCATATGGAAGAAACTGCAATGGAGAATGGTGATAAAAGAGGAAGAGAGCCTTCTACAGGTGCAAAAACTCTCTCTTGAGGCAGAAGCTTCAAGGAGATAACTCTTCACTTTTTGATGTAAGGCTTAATGTCAATCAAAAGCCAAACGAAGCTGATTAAAATGTAAGAAACTATAGATAAAACATCTACTGCTAAATGGTTATATTTGTGTCAGATTCAGTAAGTAATATTCTTTATAGGGCAACAACTCTCTACCCTATCATACTAGGGTATGTTCATTTTTTAATGAATATCTTATAAGTTACCCCTTTACTATCTAGAAGTGAAACTCATAGAAAATATAGCCTAATTATATACATACTTTCTAAACCAAGCAACTATAACATCCTAACTATAATATAAAGGAGACATAAAAGAAAGTAAATTTAATAAAGCAATACAAATTTTAACTTACACCTCCTCTGACAGGATGACACCATTAAAGAGGATTTTTAAAAAGCCTTGAAGGAATTGGTACCATGCACTGGAAAATCACTTGTAGAGAGCAATTGAGAGTGTGGCAAATTAGTCATATTATAGATGTCTTGTGAATCACCAAAATTTCAAGGAATTATAAAGAAAATACATATTCTTTAAAAACATCCTGATTATTAAGGATTAATTCCACATATTTTAAACGTAGTGATGGTATTTAATCACTAAATCAATGTCAGTATGTTGAGCTCCATACTCCAAATACACCTAACCTGAAATATAAGCCCATATAAAAACTTTATAAAGTCTTTTCAGAATTAGGAAATTTGTCAGATATCCCAAAACATCATCTATCATCTATAGATTGAATCAACAGCTTGCACGAGTTAGGAAAGCAGTGTGAGGTGTTGAAAGTGATATGTGTCCTTGGTCAAGATGCTTAACTTCTCTGAATCACAGGTCCATGTAAAGGGAATAATAACTGCTACCTGTTAGGGCTATAAAGAGTTGTGTTGTTTTTTGTTTTGTTTTGTTTTTTTTGTGTGTTTTTAGGGATAATAATTGCTACCTGTTAGGGCTATAAAGAGTTGTGTTTTTTTTAACTTATGTAAAATACCTCAATAAATAAAAGTTGAAGCACTTGCAAGAATACTTCCCTAGATTCTATATGGTTTCTTAAGATTAGATGCAATCTTGTGCCTACACATCAAGACAAATTCTTTTACAGCTGGTGACCAAAAAAAGGTCTTCACCCTAAAATTTGAGAAAAGAGATACTTTAAGATAAAAGATTTTGAAAGATAAACATCGAGTGGTGAAACCAAAATGTGGGGTTTGAGTCAGAGTTCCTTGTCTCACAAAATCGAATAATGAAGTCTCGGACAAAAACAATTAACAGAACCAAAGTTTTTCGAGAAAAGACAATCCTGGAAAAGGTACAACTAGGATTCCAGGAGCAGACCAGTGTCCAGAGCTTCCTTTCCATGTTATAGTCCAGTGTTAAAAAATCTATTAGTCCATATGTAGAGTCCCACATGGCTTATGGGGGAGCATGTCTCCTGCCATCAATCCAAGAATCTAGTGCGCTGGGAAAAGAGAGAGAAAGAGCGAGAAAAAAAACTCCCACTTTTTAATTTAGCCTTGCTACCTTCTCATTGGTCCTTTCAAAAATTTTTGCCTTAGCAACATCCTTTGGATTGGTTTATATGTCTCACTGCCTTATGATTGGTTATTTGCAAGCTGTTTGTCTTAGTAACATCCATACATTTTAAAACTCACTTCTTGGGTGTCCTCCCTTCTCTCCCTGCCCAGTTGGGTTGTCTCAGTAACTCCGCCTGGTTGGGTAGCCTGCTTCTATTTCCTCCTCCTCCCATGGTCCCCCTCCCTATCTTACCTAGTTTCCCTGTCTCCTCAGTGGAACTTCTAAAATCAAGCCTTAGCTCAATAGGGTGTTGAGGACTAGAAACTCCAATGATTGTTTGCATTATTTCAGATGAAAATATCTGGGGAGGAGTCTAAAGGCCAACCATTCCTGAAGGATTTGCTGATTTACTAAGTTATGCTTTTCACACGCTTCGCCATCTTACTCGCCTCTGTTTATACTCATCTTTGTTAGTGTATTCCTTTTCTTCTGTCAGCCAGTTGAAGTAGCCCTCCCACCTACTGGAATGAAAAACCTAGGATGCTACTTTAGAATAGTTCAGAATCTTTGTAAATGACCTATATTGCTTTTAACATCACACTTTGAGTTTCATTGGAAATCTAGCTGAGATTTGCAATATACTTTGCTGCCATTCCTACCTTATTGAACTCATATGTAAATTCATTTAAAATCAGCAAAATCCACATTAGTACAAGAATCGGAAAGAATATAAAATTTAATGGATATTCTCAAAGTATGGATTATGACTGTGAAGTGTTTCAATATTCATCTATAGAAAGAAATAATTAGAATCTAGATGACTTCTAAAGTGCCTTCCAATTTTAATACTCTATGACTATTATTTCTACATAGTTGAATCATTGGGAAATTAACAAAGCGATTTAATAAGGCAATTTGTGATCTAGGGCTGCACTAAGACTACTCTCTTCATAGCTAAAGGTACTTCTTAGAGTACTGAGCTAAAAATGTAACTGCATTCTGCAACCAATGCAAACATGTTCTAATTGACGGGAGGGGGGGAAACATTCAGTCCAAAGTGCCTGCAATTCCTCTGTGAGCTGGCGTGGCAGGGAGAGTGTGCGGTCAGTGAAGCATCAAGTTACAGACCAAATTAAAGGTCTGGAGAAGAGTGGCAGGGTCTAATCACCCACTGTCGAAGCTGCCAGAATTGGATCTACCACCCATACCCGCTCACAAAGGACTGCTCCCCATATCCTAAGCATACAGAGTAAGGGCTTCAAACATGTCTTATTAACAGGGCCTTCAGTTCCAAATAGATCTTTATGGAATTATTTCCTTGAAGTTTTTAGTTCTGTCATTAAAATTTCCATGAAAAAGTAATCAAAACCTAATGCTTACAGTGTTCTGCCACAAAGAAAAATAGTGTGGGGTTTTGTTCCTATTAAAAACATGTGTTACATATATATACATAATTATGTAAGTCCCAGACCCAGTGTACATGCACATACACAAAAACCTTAGGAAAAAATTATAATAGTTTTGCCCAAGCCACAAAATTCATAATATAATCTGTATTCTGTCCATAACTCCCCTTATTAAGCCAGTGCTTTGAAAAGGTCAGCAAGCAATGAATATTTCTGCATATTGTGTGACACAGGCTGCAAACAATAGATTTGTACAGATGAGTTAAGGTCACTTTTAAAATTCAAACAGTATTTTCTGGACCTGGTTAGCTGAATCGTGCGCATCTGCACTGTATTTCCTAAGGGAAAGTTAATTTTAGAAAGAAGAAAAAGTTTGCCAGGGAAACAATCACATTGGCTCAATACCTAGACAGTGACTCTTCTTCAAGTTCAAAATGCTTTACAGAAAGTCTCCTACTTGTCCTTAAAATCCTTGAAAGTAGGTACCAAATACCATCCCTATTTCATAACAAGCATTTCATTTTGTTAAAAGTTGTATGATTTCATATTATACCTCCTTTATGGTATTTTTAAAAGTTAGTGCTTCACCTCAATTTTCCAAAAGACAAAAATCTTTATTTTCCCAGGTAGTTACATTCTGAGAGTTTGTTAAGTGCTTAGAATAGTTCGGGTACATATACATATACACATATATGAAAAGCAGCAGATGTACATCTACGACAAAGTACAATTTGGAGAAAAAATTTAGTTATCTGTGTAAATTCAAATACAATATAACTTACAGACACTCAACCAATTCAGGGTAGAAGAGCTTGTTTTAAATATTTAGGAATGTAGCCCTAGCTGGTTTGGCTCAGTGGATAGAGCTTCAACATGTGGACTGAAGGGTCCCAGGTTTGATTCCCCCTCATCAGGGCACATGCCTGGGTTGTGGGCTCAGCCCCCAGTGTGGTGCGTGCAGGAGGCAGGGGATCAGCGATTCTCTCTCATCATTGATGTTTCTATCTCTCTCCCCTTCTCTGAATCAATAAAATATATCTTAAAAAATAATTAGGAATGTAAACAGGACCCAAATTATGATCATTTATGAAAATATGATCATTCTTCCTGTTTCCTAGAGATAATAGTCCACTTGGCTCTCTAGCCTTAAAGTAACCAACATATAAAAATGCCAGTAGTCACTGACAGAGAAAGTCAGTCAATGCAAGCATATGAAGGAAAATTTTTTGATTCCCACCAGCATAGGCCTCATTCCTTTCTAATAGCCAGAGTACTTGCAAAGGAATACTTACATATTTTAAACTGATATTTAAAAGCTCTCTTTGCCCTAACCGGTTTGGCTCAGTGGATAGGGCGTCAGCCTGCGGACTGAAGGGTCCCAGGTTCGATTCTGGTCAAGGGCATGTACCTTGGTTGTGGGCAGATCCCCAGTAGGGGGTGTGCAGGAGGCAGCTGATCCATGTTTCTAACTCTCTATTCCTCTCCCTTCCTCTCTGTAGAAAATCAATAAAATATATATTTTTAAAAATAAAAGTTCTCTTTAATGGGGGCTCTTAGAAGTGGTATTTCTCTCCATCCCATATCTGAGTTTCAAATCAACTTTAACCCTCTCTTCCCAAAATTGTCATCTCTGAACCAATGGTACCCCACCAAATTCCTCAACTTGAAGGAAACCAGCTTTCACTGTTTTTATTCTCTATTCACATTACTATTTCGGGTGAGGCTTACAAACACTTGGATGCCCACACCTCCTACGCGGACCCTACAGATACTTTCAAGTGATTATAAAGGAAGAGCGCATTGCTATCACCTAAAGCGGTTAATACACAGAAGCCTGCAAACACACACACACACACACACACACACACACACACACACACACACACACACCGATTTCCGAATCAGGATCTCAGCAGCGCTGGACTAGGAGCTATTATTCTAGGCTGTGATGAAGTTCTAGCTTCATAGTCACCCAGAACACCTTGGAAATTTACCACAATGTTTGATTTTCAGGAAAATTAAACCCCAAAGACCTTCAACCTATCATTTGGTGCAGATACAAAAGACGCTATACTGCCCTTGACCGCCCCCCCCCCTGCCCCAAAGTTAGGATGGTAACAGAAGGAG